CTGATCACCCCACCGCTTGCCCAGTTCCCACCGCTCACTCATCTTGTCCTCCGAGCGCCTGCGCCCTCATATCGACACCGTCAAGCGCGCGCCGGCCGATCCACGGCCGCCGGCTGCAACGCGGACCCCATGGAACAGCGCCCCCACATTCCCTGAGGGCTTCGACGACGCCGGCCCATTCGGCATCAAGTGACTCTGCCCCTTGGCCTCCGGGCGCCCTATCCGCAATCGTTCGAGTAAACTGTCCTGCATCGGCTGGCTATTTCAGCGCACGTCTGTCCTTCCCGTTCTGAGCGCGCTTCGGCAGCGCCGCTGTTGAGACGCGGCGTCGAGCATGACGCCGAGAAAAGATCCGACTGGAGGCCGACCCATCGGCGGCCCCAAACATCCCGGAGCCCCTCGGGAGAAGCCGATCCGACCAGCGCCAGCTCTAGCATGGCGCAGCATCGCGGCCATCCACCGACAACTTGTTTTACACCTTGCAAAATTCTCGAAGCAGAGAAACTCGCCCTCTGGCGCCTTCTCGTCGCGCGGGGCGCAGGCCGTGAGAACGCCGATCGCGCCGCCTCTGACCTCCATCTCGACGCCCTCCGCTCCCCCCGCGCATCGCAGGAAGCACCGGGTCCCACGCCGGGCCCAAGGCGACGCCGCAAAACCCACGCGGGCACGCTCTTCCCAGCAACCAGATAGAACGATCTAGAAATCAGCATTGTTGAAGCCATCCGAATCCTCCTTCCACGTCTCCTGTAGGCACAAGACGCCAAGCTTGAAAAACAGCATGCGCCCCAAAATGCAAACGCATTTTTCCTCGGCAAGGCCCTGGACATACCAGATACCAGCTCGCAAAGCCTATCCACGAGCGCCCCAAAACTGCCTCCTCCAGCGCCCCGTTCCACCATCTTCGCGGCGATCGCGGGGCGAGACCAGAACTGCGCCGACGCGCCCGCGACCCCGTCCACGACCCCGTCAATGACGGGGCTTGCCTTTCCCAAAGCCTTTCGCGCCGCCCCCCCACTGCTCTCTAGGCGCTCGCCAACTCGCCTGAATCGGCGAAATCAACGCAGTCTTTCCAACCGTCGGCAAGCCACCTCATCGCCAAGACGCCGCCCCCCACGACAGCCTGCAAGACCTCCGCGCCACCGACCTCCAGGACCAAGGACCAGCTGCTCCCCGCCCAGCTCGACGGCTGTCTCGTTGAAATCCCAGCGGACCAACAGCTTCTTGACGCCGAGAAAACAACGGGACGCGCCCCTGCAGGGGGCCAGAGCACACCACACCTCGCCCTTCGACGGTTGAACAGCGCCCCCGCCTGCTCGCCAAGGCAGCTTCCAGAGCCGCCTCATCGCGCAATCGTGCAAAATCCGTGGACATTCCCCCCTTTTTCTGATGCATTTCTGAAGGAATCTTCAAACCTAAAATGGCCCGCGATGCTCTCCTTCGCCTCGTCGAAACTTTGGGCGCCGGCGAAGCTTCCAATCGCTGCAACCTTCTTGATGGTGTCCGCGATTTGTTTATTCAGCTCCCCGTCAATACCTTCGATGGCCTTCCTGCCACCCTCTGCCGCCAACCCCTCCGCGCCCCTCTGGGCTGCCGCCGTCGTGGCTTCCGCGGATGTCGCGCGCTTTTCGAAATCATCGCCATCGGTTCGATATTATAGTCTCGCTCGTTGAACCTCACTGCATGCGGGGACCGAAAGCGGTCAGCGCTCCGCCTACTGCGTCGCGATGCGCGAGTATAAGATCCAACCCAATCGCGATCCGCACCGCAAGAATTAGAACGAGGCGGGAAACGGATCGGTTCAACCAGGCAAGTGAGCTCGCATGGAACCACAGCGCCGTCCAGGGCGAGCAAAGCCGCCACATGCACGCAGGCAAATCAATATGAAATTGAAAATCCTGGCGAAAGGCCCAGACACATGCAGTTGCGAGCACCGCAATCGTGAATTGATTCTTCGGCGGCGCTCCCCACGGGGCCACGAACCGCATCAGCGGCGCGCCGAAATGCTCGCGGCGGGGCACGCAACGCGAACGGAGCGGACAGGTCTAAGCACGAGAGACTGAGCGCGGGTGACTCTGAGCGCCGGTGAGTCTGATTGCGAATGAGTCTGCGCGGGAATGAATCTATGCGCATGAATGCGAGCATGGGCACGCCGAGTGTAAATGCACATGACTGCGAATGGTTTGGGTCTGCTCGACTCTGAGCACTCGCGACGCTGAGCGTGGCCGCCGCAGGGCGCCCCCCCGGGAATCCCGACGGCAGCGCCCGCGCGCCGCGACGCCCATGTCGGCGCGCCCCTCGCGAGGATCGCGCCTGGTTTCTCCCCTTCTTTCCCCCCGTCTTTGACTGTGCACTCCAAAGCCCAAGGCCGCGGGCGCAGCGCGACGCGGGGCCCCCGCGACGCGCGCAGGCCGTTCGTGGCGCGGAGCAAGGAGAGCAAGCTGGCTAGCTGATAGCGGGCAAGGCCTTGGCCGCTGGGCAGAGCGACGACGGGCGAGCGAGGCGCCGGGCAGAGCGCGGCGTGGAATTCCCGCGACGCGCGCCGGCCGCCCCGAGAGGGCCCCAGCGACGCGCGCAGGTCGTCCGCGGCGCGAGGCCAGGGAGTTAGTTGGGCAATCGGCAGGCGCGGTTCGGGCGGGGCGCCCCTCCGGCCAGGCCCCGCGGATAAACTCGGCGAAGCCGAGCTCCCTGGCAAGGGCCGTCGCCCCCCTCCTGCACCGCTTCGCGCGCGCCGCAAACTGCCCCAGCTGCTTCCGCAATGCCCTCCGGCGGCCCTGCCAAGAAGAACTCGACGCGCGGCGTCCGCATGAGCAGAAGGTCGTCGCGGCGCGTGGCGCGCGAGAGCAGCGTGCAGAGCTCCAGCCACCAGTCGTCGCCCTCTCTGCCGTTCCCGACCTCGCGGCGCGCAGTCCAGGATCGCGCCCGGGGGGCGTCGGCCGAGAAAGCGGCGCGCCGGACAGTCGACGGCCCAGGGCGAGGGCTCACAGGACCGAGAGAAGGTCTGGCTGCGGACCGCTCGCGCCCAGAAAATTCAGCGGTGACTGCCGGGGGGGCGCCGTTCCCTCGCCCCGTCGCCTTCTCGCAAGGCACACCCCTGGCACGCCGCCGCGGCGATAACCCTGCCGTGCGAGAACGGGAAGCCTGCTCGGGTCACCCTGGAAGTGCGGAAGGTGAACGGCTCCGACGCGCGGAGCCCGATGAACACCAGCGGGCCGGCGAGGTCCCCCACGAGGCTGTCGTCGCGGCGTTTAGGCTCGTCCACGAAGGGCGCGCCCGCGCACTTCTCCAAGCGCACCCAAAACCCCAGCGGCAGGTGCTTCGGGCGGGGGGGTGCCGAAGTGGGTGTGACTGACGCATGCGGGCGGTGGCACTGGGACCTTCGGTGGAGCTCCTTATGGGGCCACGAAACGTGTGAGGGGAGTACCGAAATGGGTGCGGCATGCGGGCGGTGGCACTGGGGCCTTCGGTGGCTCCCTATGTGGCCGTGAAACTTGGGAAGGGTGTGCGGAAGAGGGCGTGGGTGACGTATGCGGGCGGTGGCACTGGGGCCGTCGGTGGAGCTCCCTGTGGGGCCACGAAACGTGTGAGGGGTGTGCCGACATGAGTGTGACTGATGCATGCGGGCGGTCCCACTGGGACCTTCGGTGGAGCTCCTCATGGTGCCACAAAACGTGTAAGGGACGTACCGAAACGGGTGTGACTGACGCATGCGGGCGGTCCCACTGGGGCCTTCGGCGGAGCTCCCTATGCGGCCACGATGCCTGTGAGGGGTGTGCCGACATAGGTGTGACTGACGCATGCGGGCGGTGGCACTGGGGCCGTCGGTGGAGCTCCTTATGGGGCCCCGACACGTGTGAGGGGTGTGCCGAAATGGGTGTGACTGACGCATGCGGGCGGTCCCACTGGGGCCTTCGGTGGAGTTCCCCAAGGGGCCACGAAACGTGTGAAGGGTGTGCCGAAATGGGTGTGGGGGACGAATACGGGCGGTCAAACTGGGACTTTCGGTGGAGCTCCTTATGCGGCCACGATGCGTGTGAGGGGTGTGCCGAAATGGGTTTTCGGGACGCATGCGGGCGGTGGTACTTGGGCCTTCGGTGGAGCTCCCGATGGGGCCGAGAAACTTGGGAGGGGTGTGCCGAAATAGGAGTGGGGGACGCATGCGGGCGGTCCCACTGGGGCCTTCGGTGGAGCTCCCTATGCGGCCACGATGCCTGTGAGGGGTGTGCCGAAATGGGTGTGACTGACGCATGCGGGCGGTGGCACTGGGGCCTTCGGTGGAGCTCCCTATGGGCCCACGCAGCGCTGTAAAGGGTGGGTGAAACGCAGGGAGAAGGGAGGACGGCGAGGAGGAGGGAGGAAGGAGGAGCAGAACGCGGGGACCGTCTCTTCAAAACGAAGATCCAACACCACAGGATGGTTGGGGGAAAAAGTGTCGGATGTATTTGCAACCGACCTACCTGTCAAGCAACAAAACCTCGGGCTGGTCGCCCGCCAATTCGAAGGTTGGTCGCCCGCCAGGGAAGTGCAACCGCTGGGCTTCGCGGGGGAAGCGAGGTCGGAGGCCAAGGAGGGGCGTGATCGAAGAGGGAGGCGGAAGAAGAGGAGGAGGAGGAGGAGGAGGAGGAGGAGGAGGAGGAGCAGGAGCCAGGCAGGAGGAGGAGGAGGAGGAGGAGGATGAGGAGGAGAGAGGAGGAGGAGGATGGGGAAGGAGGAGGAGGAGGAGAGGAGAGGAGGGGGGGGGAGCAGGAGCAGGACAGAGCAAGAGACGGAGGAGGAGGAGGTGAGGACCAGGAGCGGAGCAGAGGAGACGGAGGAGGAGGGAGGAGGAGGAGCAGCAGCAGGAGCAGAGCAGAAGCAGAAGCAGGAGCAGGAGGATGAGGAGAGGAAGAGGATGAGAGGGGAGGAGGAGGAAGAGGAGGGAGGAGGAGGATGAGGAGGAGGAGGAGGAGGAGGAGGAGGAGGAGCGAAAGTCCTCCAACGACGCACCCCGCAGCAGGCCCAGCCTGCAGGCCCAGCGGGCCCACGGCGACCGCGAGCCTGGAGTCGAGCGTTCTCGTCCTCACGGGCCTCGCGGGGCCACAGGGGAGGCAGAGGGAGGAGTAGGGGGCAAAGAGGGGAGGGCACGAGGATAATGAGTAGCAGGAAGGGGAAGGAGGGGGAAGGGGGGGGGACAGGAGTGAAAGGAGGAGGAGGAGGAGGAGAAGGAGGAGGAAGGGGGGAAGAAGGCCAGAGGGAGGGGAGAAAGAAAGGGGAGGCGGGATTCTGGGTTGTTTGGGATGGCGGGGGGCAACATGGGCCCAAGAATTCGAAAAGTTTTGGAGATTATCACTGGAAACGAGGAGGTTGACGAGGAAGAAGAAGGGTGAAAACGACGACAACGCCCACGCCGACGACGACGACGACGATCACAAGGACAGGAAGAAGAAATCGATGGTCGATTGTAATGTGTTGTCGTCACGTGGCACCACAGCACGCAGAAGCAAATAGATGCTGCTCTGCTCGTCGCATGGAAACTTGGAGGGGGCGAACTAATCCCACCAGCCATTGAGGGTGTGAGCGGTTTTGAGAGTTCCCTCTTCCAACCCCCTTCTTCCCCTTCGGGGAGGTGCTTATAACTGTTCCCTGTGATTAGGTTCTCCTCCCCGAAACGACCAGCAGCCAACCAGGAAAAATGGGACCCCCCACACCACCACTGTCAACAAACAATACAAAATACTCTGTGGGCAAAATCTTGGGTCATGCTCGCGGGCTCCGCGAGCACTTTGGGTAGTTTGGTGATAGGGACGGCGGGGGGGTATCATATTGCCTGCTGTGCGCAAAGCCACCTCTTGGGCCGTCTCAGCCCCTTCCTGGGGCGCTCTGGTGCAATATGAGAGGCGTCCTGGGCATTCGTGGAGCGTCGGCAAGCGGAACGAGCCGAAACGGGGAAATACGTGAGAACCTCCCGCTCCAATGACTGGCGGCGACAATCATATTCCCGGAAAGGCTTCCGGAAACATGCTGGTTGCAGCCGTGCTGGGGACCTCGCGGAGGCCTCTGTAGGGCCCTGTCCGAGACTCCTTCGGGGGGCAATACTGGGGTTCCTCGGCCGCCTGCTAAACCCTGTCGGGTCTCATTTGAGGGCCGTCTTGGGACCTCTGGGCCAGATTGGCCACCTCGTAGGTCTTGGCGCCCTTTCGGGCTTCTTTGGTGCAGTCTGGGCAGCGACTTGGGCGGTGTTGGAGCGTCGACAAACGGAACGAGCAAATTATCCCGGCAAAGCAACCTAACAGCGATGTGTAGGAGCATATCTGGAAGCATTCCACTTAAGATTCAGATTGGAATCCAGTTGTAGAATTGTGCTGTTCTCGCAGTCGTAGTCGCATTCGCGATGACAGTCGCAGTGGCAACGGCAGTCACAGACACAGCCTCAGCCTCAGCCTGCCTCAGCCTCAGCCTCAGCCTGCCTCAGCCTCAGCCTGCCTCAGCCTCAGCCTCAGCCTGCTTCCAGCCTCAGCCTCAGTCTGCCTTCAGCCTCGGCCTCAGCCTCAGCCTGCCTCAGCCTCACCCTGCATCAGCCTCAGCCTCAGCCTCAGTCTGCCTCAGCATCAGCCTGCATCAGCCTCAACCTCAGCCTGCCTTCAAGCCAATTCAAATGTGGCCCAGGAATGGAGTTCTGGGAACTCGAAGACCACGAAGTGGCCTACAGTTGGCTCCGGGCATTCAAAATCAGGCCCAGGAATGGAGTTCTGGGAACTCGAAGACCACGAAGTGGCCTACAGTTGGCTCCGGGCATCCAAAATCTGGCCCGGGAATGGAGTTCTGGGAACTCGAAGACCACGAAGTGGCCTACAGTTGGCTCCGGGCATCCAAAATCTGGCCCGGGAATGGAGTTCTGGGAACTCGAAGAGCACGAAGTGGCTTAAAATTGGCTCCGGGCATTCAAACTGTGGCCCGGGAATGGAGTTCTGGGGGCTCGAAGACCACGAAGTGGCCTACAGCTGGCTCCGGGCATTCAAAATGTGGCCCGGGAATGGAGTTCCGGGAAGTCGAAGACCACGAAGTGGCCTACAGTTGGCTCCGGGCATTCAGAATGTGGCCCGGGAATGGAGTTCTGGGAGGTCGAAAAGCACGAAGTGTGTGACTGTTGGCTTTCTGCGGCACCCTGTCCGGCACCCGCCCAGACCTCCCTGTGGAGTCATCTGCTGCTCTCTTTTGACCCTACTAGAAACCTATCAGAACAAGCTGTTAGGTAAAAACTGGAAAATGCTGAAGAACCTCCTCCTCCTCCTCCTCCTCATCATCATCATCATCATCAGCATCAGCATCAGCATCAGCATCATCATCATCATCAATCATCATCATCATCATCATCATCACATCATCCTCATCGCATCCCATCCTCATCCTCATCCTCATCCTCATCCTCATCATCATCATCATCATCATCATCAGTATCAGCATCATCACCATCATCATCATCATCATCATCATCATCATCATCATCATCATCATCATCCGATGACTTGCGGCGACCTGCGGCCACACGTGTGTGTATGTATATATGAATACATACACATACATCTGTATATATACATAAATACATTCATACATACATACATACATACATACATACATACATCTAGATGTGGGGCACAGATATGCGGATGACCCTACGGGGAGGAAGGAGGGAGGAGGAGAAGGTTGCTGGCTTCTTCCCCCTCATCCTGACCGCGCGCCTGTCATCCCACGGACTCAGCGCAACGACTCTGCGCGGATGCTCGCACCCGCCCCGCGAAGGCATGCTCCACGTCTCGTTGCGCCTGACCTGGCCCGCCCGCGGAGGTTCATAGCACAGAGGCGGGAGGAGACCGGGAGGGAGGAGGAGGGACGGAGGAGCAAGAAAGGCGAAGGAGGAACACGAGGCCGAAGATGGGGGAAGGAAAGGAGGAGGAGAAGCAGGAGGAGCAGGAGCAGGAGGAGGAGGAGGGGGGTGATGATAATGACAATGATGACGACGATGACGTTACGATGGTGGTAGGGATGCTGACGATGATAAGACCCACACCGCGCGCGTGCTGGGCCGCCGACGGCGACGGTGATGGCGATGATGGCGACGACGATGAGGAGACATGAGACGTGTGGCAAAACTCCGGATACCCTGGGGCATCTTTCGCTTCAGCATCAACCTCATCATCATCATCATCATCATCATCACCATCATCAGCATCATCAGCATCATCATCATCAGCATCCCATTCATCATCATCATCATCATCATCATCATCATCATCATTACCATTATCATCATCATCATCAATATCATCATCACCATCAACCCATCATCATCATCATCATCATCATCATCATCATCATCATCATCATCATCATCATCATGATCATCATCATCCTCAGAATCGCCCTCATCCTCCTCCCCTAACCCTTCTCCTCCTCTTGCTCCTCTCCCTCAGATCCTCATAGTGTAGTTATTATAATCACCGTCATCCGCATCACCATCATCACCATCACCATCATCATCACCAACATAATCATCATCATCATCAGCAGCAGCACCAGCATCATCATCAGCTAGGCATAAGCATCGTTAGCATCATCGGTAGCACCATCATCAGAATAGTCATCATCATCATCATCAGCATCATCAGCATCATCAGCATCATCAGCATGCCATTCATCATCATCATCATCATCATCGTCATCATCATCATCGTCATCATTGTCGTCATCATTGCCGTCATCGTCATCATGATTATCATGATCATCATCATCATCATCATCACCATCACCATCATCATCATCATCATCATCATCATCGCCATCACAATCACCATCGTCATCATCATCAGCATCAGCATCAGCAGCATCATCGGCATCGTCATCGGCATCGTCAGCATCATCAAATTCAACAACAAAATAGTCATCATCGGTATCGTCATCATCATCAGTATCATCATCGCCATCACCATCATCATCGTCATCGGCATCGTCAGCACCATCAAATTCAGCAAAAACATCTTCATCATCATCGACGTCATCATCATCAGCAAAATGGTCGTCCTCAACATCATCATCATCATCAGCAGGATCAGCATCAGCATCATCATCATCGTCACCATCATCAAAAATAAACAGTGCGAATCAATAAACATGATAATAACCATCATCCTTCATCATCAATCATCATCGTCATTGTCATCGTCACCATCAGCAGAAACATCGCAATCATCATCATCAGCATCATCATCATCGTCATCGTCATCATCATCATTGTCATCATCCTCATCGTCATTTTCGTCGTCGCCATCATCGTCATCATCACCACTACCACCGCCACCAGCATCATCATCATCATCGTCATCATCGTCATCAACATCGTCATCATCATCATCGCGCTGTCATCAGCATCATTATCATCATCATCATGATCATCATCATCATCATCAACAGCGTCATCACATCATCAGCAGAAGCAGTAACAGTATCATCACCATAGTCATCAGCATCATCATCGTCTTCGTAATTCCCACCATCGGCATCCCCATCATCATCATCATCGACATCGTCATCCTCGTCATCATCGTCATCAGCAGCATCAATCACCACAATCATCATCATCATCATCAGCAGCAGCAGCAGCAGCGTCATCATCGGCAGTGCCATCCTAAGCACAACCAGAATCCTAAACAAAACGTGTATCAGCACCAACAACATCAATGTCATCATCCGCATCACAACTACAATAGCCGTGTCATATCATCTTCAACTTCGCATCATCGCCCACATCTTCATCATCATCACCACCATCATGATCAACATAATAGTCAACCTTATCAGCATCATTGTCAACATCATCACCATCAACACAATCATCATCGTCATCATCCGCACCGTCAACAGAAGCATCGTCGCAATCATCATCAACAGTATCATCATCATGATCGTCATCATCTTCATCACAATCATCATCATCATCATCATCATCATCATCATCGTCATCATCATCAGCATCATCATTATCATTATCATCATCAGAATCATTATCATCAGCAGCATGATCACCATCATCATCATCAGCATCAGCATCAGCATCATAATCGTCGTCGTTGCAA